AATACCAAGAACTCAAAGACGAGTAAGACATGGTCAGTCCTCATAGTCTCATAGGACCCAAATTTATGTGTCCATTTTTTCTTAAGCTTCATCTCTAATTCTTCATCCCTGGCACCTCACCTAAAAATTTTAAGCTTACAAAAAAGTTAACGAATGGAACAATAAACAACCACATACTATCCATTTGGCTACTCAGACCTGGGTGTTTTGCCCCTCTATCTTTGTTTATCTCTTTGGTACTGGGGATTGAACCCAGGGGCCCTTTACCATTGAGATACATTCCCAACCCTTTTTATTTTAGTTTTTGTTTTAAGATAGGGTCTCACTAAGTTGCTTATGACCTCAGCCTCCTAAGTCCCTGGGATTACAGGTATGTGCCACCGCACCCAGCTCATGATTTTACACACACACACAGGTATACAGATTACCCAGCTCTGTCCACTGAAAAGGGTCATAAGAAGTAACACTCCAGCAGCCATTATGCTTTCCAAATTCTAAAACCTAAATCAAAAAGAAAAGCTAGGGTGTTTTGGAGAGATGAGTGATTCCAAAACTTGGGACAAGAGAAGTAGAAGGTAAGCCTGTAGTATGTGCTAGATGGCACAGAAGCTCTAATGGGGTCATGTCAGAAGGACGACAGATGGCTTGAAGGGACCCTCCCTCGCCAGGTACAGAGAGAACATAAAAATCCAACAACAGAAAGACTAATGATTACTATTAATTGTAACAAACTGAGTTAGAAAAATATTAATCCACAAGTCCATGGTGATAGTACAGGGCCTTAGGAAAGGGAAAAGGTAAAGAAACTTCTATTTAAAAAGGAATGCCAACCAATAAATGTAAATGAAATGGAAGAATCAGAAAAATCACTACTTTATAATCCCCGCTGGAGAGCCCATCAACACAGGCTGAAAATCAAATGATGTAGGAGCGCTGGGAGAGATGAGTGCCCAAGTGTCCCTTCACTTGTCGCTGGGAAATTACAAGGCAAAAAATGGAGCTTTGAAAATGAAGAAACCTGGCAATTCCCACCTGCTGGGGTGGGACACCCAGGCAAAGTGTGCCTCCCCAGATGATGCACAGTATGATTGAAAGAACACCAGGAAATGTTCCATCTCAGTAACTCAAACACTTCCAGTATGCATAAAATGAGAGGATGGAAAAATGAGCTAAAGCTATGGAAAAACAATCAGATAAATGTCAAAAGTGAGACATTTTTATGAGAAATCTGACCTAGGTTTTCAAAAAAGTATTTTGTCTCATTGTTTACAGGGAGAATCTTGGCTTCAATTATATTAGTATAAAGATTACATATAAAAGTCACAAATGACAACGAATTAAGTAAAATTTGAGATTTGGTTCCCTTTTTTGTTCTTAAATATATTCCAAAGCATGAAGGTTTAAAGTTATCTGAATTTTGTCTGTTGTCAATTTTTGATATGCCAATAATTTGTTTCTGTTTATATTAGTAGGATACTCTATGCATTTTTTTTAAGTTTAGTTTTGAATGTGTACATTTATATGGTTCGACGTTAAAACTGTGTTTTAAAAAAGACATACTCCAGAGCCCTGATCTCCTCCTTTCCCTGTTCCCTATTTTCCTGTATACCTTCTTCCTGCAGGTGAATATCTTCATCTGTTTCTGGATCCCCACCTCCACCCCCACCCCCTGTATTTCTTTTTCTAGAAACATGAATGTTTCATGTGTATTCTCATTACCCTTTCTGCATATTTTATACACCCTGTTGTATATTTGCACTTAAGAAGTATTTCCAGGGAATATGTTTCTCAGTTCAGAGAGGTCGTCACTCTTGTACAGCTCTGTCACACTCCCTGGTGGCTGCAGGACATGTGATTGGCCCAGTCATTTGGGGTGCTGAGTAAGTTTCTTCATAGGCTCCCTTTTCAGGTTTAGGGAAATGCAGTATTTAGGATAGATTCCTAGAAGTGGGTTGTTGGGTTGAGGGCAGGTGCACATGTAATACTGTCAGATATTAGCAAGCTCCCCTCCTCAGTGGTCCTGTTTTGCTTTTCTTAGCTTTTGATTCCACCCCACCCCCACCTCCACCTCCTGACCCCCACCAAATCTGATGGTGAGAATTGGTGTCTCATGGTAGCCTTTATTTTCTCTGTCTTATGAGTGGAATTGAGCATTTCTGTTCATGTTTTCAAGGGCCATTTTTCTTTTTCTTTTCTTTTTTCTTTTTTGTCATAAGGAACCACAGTGACTGTTTTCTAGCTGTCAGTACTCTCTACCTTAAAATAAACTGTCATTGTTGTCTGGCTCTTCTGGTGCCAAATTCTTATGCTTCATATCTTTATTGGGGGAGTTATATTTAGAATTTTAACAAACCCTTCTTATAGTTGAATGAAATTTTACACTAGCTGTTAAAAATAGGGACTTTAGATATAAAGTCGTTTTTTTGGCTTAAGGCATAGGCTGCCACCAAAGTGCCAGTTTTATTCTTTCTTTCTTCCTCCCTCCCTCCCTCCCTCCCTCTCTCTCTTTCTTTCTTTCTTTCTTTCTTTCTTTCTTTCTTTCTTTCTTTCTTTCTTTCTTTCTTTCTTTCTTTCTTTTTGTAGATCTGTGATGAAAGGTATAGTATCACAACCTGATTTATATAATTGCTTTATAAGAAAATTTAATTGTGTTTTAGAAATAGGGACAAGACACTGATAGTACGATCGGGAGGTGTCTTTTGTAATGATGTCATGACATGATTAAACTGGATTATTTTTATTCATTTAACTCAGTTATTAAAACGACTATCATAGTAAATTTGTACTTAACAAATGATGTCATCCCTTATTTAGTGGTATAGGAGGGGTGAGAATATTTAAAGAGCATATGGATATTTACATGAAGATGCAGAAATTGTAAAATATTCATAATCCTCATAGCATCTGCAGGTGCTTGTAGGAAGAAGCTCAGGTAATTCATTTTATTTAACCAGTTAAGTTGAAATTTTTTTCTGTTGCCATTTAAAACAGGTTCATCTTTGGCTATGACTAGAGAAAGGTATTTCTTACTTTCTTATTAGAGCTTTGCTTCCATCCTCATTTGGATTAGCTTCTGAGAAGCCATAAAAAGCAAGAGTACAAATTGCATCAAATGTTTCCTTCTCAGGACAAGTAGTAGAAGGGACTGTTCTTGTCTTCTCAGCACCTGCAGAGGATCTGACAGATTGATTTTATAACTGACAAACACTGCGTCAGAAAAAAAGTGTACTAGCTAAGCTGTGATCTTGGTTACACACAGGCACAACACAGGCACACTCTGACTCATTCTTGACCTCTACCTATTTTTGTTTTGAAGCAAAGCTATTTTATATAAATCCAACCAATTTGGAAAATACTTTGCAATATAAAAATTTAGTTTTTGTATGCATTTCATGTCTTTTCAAAATATTAGATGACCTTAAAATATTTTTTAAAACCATCAAAAATTGTGTTCTCACATATTTTTGTAGGATTTTTTTTTAATACAAAACTTTGATCATCATCTTTTTGGTGGTATTGGAGATTGAACCCAGGGCTGTACAAATGTTAGGCAAGCATTCTACCACTGAGCTATGTCCTCAGCCCCTAAATGTCTTAACAGTACTTTTGTGTTAAGCAAAAGTTCCTAATACCATTTTAGTTATATTTTTGTGCCAGCAGAGACTCTGAAGGACAGCAGTTACAGATTAGCACTATGAAATAACCCATCTCCATGTTAATAGGCAGCACCAGCTCTCTGTCAGCAAGCAGAAAGAAGCAAAACATGTCCTGGTTTTCCAAGAAAGTTTTCCTAAATATCATAAGGGAAACCTTTGACCTTTTATCAACATTTATTTACTCTAACTTTATAAACAGCTTATTAGGTCTCCTAGCTCGCATTAGATTGGCAGCAATAAAATGGTAGACTATGAAGGATGAGGTGGGATGAGTAGTGAGTGACATGGACAGAAAGGCAGGAACCAGGAAAACTTTTGGAAAAATCCTATGATAGATTTTTGTAGGGGTAAGATTTGTAAAAATTATAATAATAAAAATAACAAACAATTACTCTTCCACTGTCATTTTTTTAAAAAATCAATAAAAAAATAAAATGTAAAAGAGAAGAAAAAGGACATCCAAATAATCTATTAACATATTTGTATTGTGTTGTATTAATGTATTTGTTCATCAGTTGCAACAAATGTGCCATACTAGTGTAATGTTTATGATAGGGGGAACTAGATATAGGTATATGATAATGATATTCTCTTCTCTGTAAATCTAAACTGTTATAAAAAATAAAATCTACTTAATAAGAAATTTTTAAAAAAAGAATTACTCTTCCCAGGTTTTTAACACTTTGGAATTTACCCCCTCGCTTTCTGTCTTTTGACACGCTAAACTATTAGTTCTATCTATTAAATGGGTTTAAATCAGAAATCAATGTGTGGATTATTTACTGAAATTGTGTATTTTAAAACATTTTGTATAATATTTGGCACAAATCAACTACTCAAAAAAGCAGTCTTTACTTGAATCTTATAATGGTGTCTCCTTAGTGAAGCACTATAGTCTGTACTTATGGTGTTTTGTTCTTTATTATAGTCTGTCTGTCTGCAGATGTGCAATGTTCAAATACAAAAAACTCTGAAAACTGCAAGTTTGTTACAAACTCTTGGTCCTAAACTCACCTAAATTGATAACACAGAGTTTTTCCCCTACTTTGTGCTTTATTTGGTATTTTGCTGTTTTGCTTAAAAATATAGAGGTTTGACAGTGGGGTACTGCCCCAGACCAGCTGAAGGAATTATATGTATACCCACTCTTTCTAAGTCTGAAAAATTCCGAATTCTAAGATGTCTGACTGAAGAGATTCAGTACTCTTGGCATTTAACATATGCTTTGAAAAGGAAAATTCCCTGTCTTCTTATTTAATAAGGAGACATTGCATGTTCATTGCCATAGAAATGTTGCTTGAGCTAAGAAATCTCAATCACGGTTTTCTCTTTCCCCCCTCACAGCAAAATGAGAAGGCGAGCCTGTTGAAGGAGAGAGACCACATTTTGTCCACTCTGGGTGAGACAAAGCAGAACCTGACTGGGCTTTGCCAGAAAGTCTGTAAAGAAGCAGCTCTGAGTCAAGAGCAAATACAGATCCTCGCCAAGTACTCTGCTTCTGATTGCCCACTTTCGTTTTTAATTTCTGAAAAAGGAAAAAGTACTCCTGATGGGGAACCCTCGGCGCCCTCAGTTTTCAGTCTCTCTGATGGGCCTCCAGCTGCGCTGCCTCCCAATGGGAGAGGAAGCAGTGAGGCCGGCTACATCCGGGGGCAGGAGTCCCTTTCCAGTGCAGCCTCCGATCCAGCCGGGCAGGTGGAGCAGAGGCAGAGTGGTGGGATCTCCGACTTCTGTCAGCAGATGACTGATAAATGTACTACTGATGAGTGAACTCGGACTCCCGTCCTCCAGCCCAGCAGATTTTCTACTGAAGTTCGGCATTGTCTAGAAAGCCTCGTAAGGCCATCCCTTACTTATCAATATTGTGTTTTCCCCTCCTAGCTTTCTGTTCAGGAAATTTCTCTCCAGTCAACCCTGATTTTTGCCTTGATTTCCACAAGACACAGAAATGATTTGTTTTCCAGATACTGAAAAAATCACATGTGGAAATCTGATTTTTTGTGTGTGTGTGGTGGTGCTGGGGATTGACCCCAGGGCCTTGTGCTTGTGAGGCAAGCACTCTACCAACTGAGCTACATCCCCAGCCCTAATACTTGTATTTTAAAGAATAAAATAATTTCCCCAGTATTCGAAATGACCATGAGAATGAAAACTGCAGAATGTCAAACAGTCTTACAGCTTGAAACATTTCCAGATAGCTCCTACTGAAGAAGCAGCCTGCAGAAGTTTAAAAATTGACCTTTTTGCAATGTACTGGTTTAAAGAAAATATCTCCCCCAAGCATTGCTAATAAGAGTTCCAGTCTACACAGCAGGAGGGTGTCAGCGTGGGGAATGTTTGTGCAGAGCTGCAGTGTGAAAAGTAAGTCTTCTTGCTGAATCCCAGAGCTTTCCCCTGCAGCCTCTGCCAGAACCAGGAGATCTAGGGAGGATCTAGGAGCAGGCAAGGGTTGACCCAAGGCGGAGGCTTCTGCTCCTCTTTGTTATTATTGACTATAGAATTTCTGGCTGCACTGCAGTAGTAGATAAGTATCATTTTCCCTCTTTTCCCCTCTTCAGTATCTTCTCCATCTGAGCTCATTATGAAATTTCTGTTTCCTGATGTTCTTCCCCCGTGCCAGGAGAGTCAGGACTCAGGATGTCATCACCTGAGTGTGTGCACTGGCAGCCTGATCTGGGATCCAGGGGAGCTTGCCAAAATAGAAGACTGTTCACTTTTCTGCCCTAAGTCACGTATGCCAGGAAAGCAGGCATGGCAGTAGGTTGGGGATTACCTACACTTACCAGGAGTGCAATTCATTTTTCATGCTGTTTTTAAAGTCCTATGGTATACTTCTAAAAAGCATTATTTTAGTTAACAGTGTATCTATAACTCTGCAGGTTTGTGAGAAAGGATGAAACTTAATCTTGTTTGTTTATGGGTTTGCATTTGGGAACCAGATTTATTTCTGTTTTCTTTCCCTATTTTCATGCTGCATAAAGTGACACAGATCATTTGTCTTTAAAAATCAGTCTTTGGGGGCTGGGGATATGGCTCAAGCGGTAGCGCGCTTGCCTGGCATGCGTGCGGCCCGGGTTCGATCCTCAGCACCACATACCAACAAAGATGTTGTGTCCGCCGAGAACTAAGAAATAAATATTAAAAAATTCTCTCTTTCTCTCTCTCTCTCCTCTCTCTCTCTCCTCTCTCACTCTCTCTTAAAAAAAAATCAGTCTTTGTCTTTATTTGATCCTATCATAAAACGTATTTATAATCTGAGTAATTATCCCATATGTTTTGCAGTAGTGCTTAAACCATTCTGGGATTGCAGATTTGAAAGTCAGATGCAAGGTATAGACATCAACAATTAAAAAAAGAAAATATACAGGGTTAGCATCCTTAATTGAGAATCCAAAATGCTCCCAAATCTGAAACTTTTTGAATGTTGACATGATACCACAGCAAAAAATTCCATACCTGATCTCATGTACAGGTAGCGCTCAAACATGAGCGCGCACGACAAAATTTGAAGTAACTGTAGGCTATGGTGTATATGAAACAAATCAGTTTTGTGTTTAGACTCAGATCCTGTCCCCAGGATATCTCATTTTTTACATATATAAATTCTTTTTCAAAAACATAAATTTTTTTTTCCAAAAAAAATATCTGAAATCTGACACAATCTGGTCCCAGGCATTTCAGATAATGTATTCGCATTTGCAGAAATATGAGGCTGCCGAAGACAAATGGAACCCAGTTTCCAAGGGTACAAAGTAGTTTATTTGGAATAGAAAGTACTTTATTTCATCTAGTCAGATGTCTTGAAAGTGACACTTCTCTAGACTGCACCTTCAGTGAAGGGCCCGGGTAGCTTACAGGGGAGATGACCACCCACTGTGTGTGTACGATTTGGAAGCAAGTAGGGTATTGCCTTGAGAGAATATGGGGACCAGTCTCAGTATTTCAGAGTAATTTGTTGAACATTACTTTTGTCCATGGGGTTGCTTGAAGGGGAAGGGGGCCTTGGAGCAGATATCACTAGACTCTCTTCAGTGTTGTTATGTTCTCTCTGTTATTGACTTGGAAGAGAAAATCAGTTGGGATTGTTTTCTGGAGGCATTCAGAAGTACACTCAGCTTGTCAGGGAGAATGGCCGTTCTATGATAATGCATCCTGTCCCACGAAAGAATTGTGCGCGTGTGTGTATATATATACATACCTCCCCATGTAGCTATTTCTTTGATATCTGTAATTTTAAATTTCAACTTCACATATAAAATAATATAAAAACTTTTCTGGTTTACAAATTGTAAAGTCTTATACAAGCCAATGGAACCTTTGATTTCCTACCTCATTGTACACTCAGCTGTCTGTCCCTCCGTTTTTGCAAATGTTAAATAATCTTTTGCTTTAATTGCAACTGTATATATTTGCTTTGAAAAGTTACTGTTTTATGACAAAACCTAGTTGTCTTCACAGTTTAAATATAAATTTTTAAGGCACTTGGTTTAAATTTCTCTCTACCTATGAAATTTAGCATTAAGGATTTATTTTAATGGTATCTGACAATTGGCCAAGTGTAATATTTCTTAAATTTAGCATAACTTTTAATAGCCAGCATGTAATACAATAACTACACTACCTCATACCTACATGATTTTCAAGTTGTATTATAGATGGACAGGAAAGATTTTAATCTTTGTCTTTTGGCCATAAGGTGGGGAAGTTTTCTATATATTGCATAGCATTACACATTTATGCCTACTCTGACATTAACTTCTAAAGAAGTTTTTTCTAAGAAAATTTGTTTCAAGGCAATTTTTTTTGAGGCTGCCGAAGACAAATGATAGGATTATGTGTATACAGTGTATGCCTTTTCCTTCATGCAAAATTTTGAAAATGTCATTTTCAGTTTGTATATTGCATATTTACATGATCATTGTTCCTTATTTTATGAACCGGCCTTCTCAGTGCTTGATGATTTTTTTTTAAAGCTCAGTAAAATCATATTAACTTAAAATTTTTCTTATTTCAATAGCTATAATGAATAATTTGTTAAATTGTTATTATTCAAAACAATTGTGGATATAAACTTGGTTCTCCATCTGTAAGTTTTATAACAGTTTCACTTAATGCTTAATCAGTTTTAAGTAAGGAATTAAAAGTATTTGATGCAGCAGACAATATAGATTGCATGTGGACATTCAGCCACGTTAACAACTTGGAAAAACAAATGACAATGTTATAAAGAATTCTCAGGTGAACTTTTTTCAGTTACGAAGCATCTATTTTGAACTTGTAAATATTTTAAATGTTTTATTAAGGCATGTAATAAACTATTCTTTGAAACTGGTTGGATAGCATAAAAATTTAAAGCCATATGGTAAAAGATGGCATACTGATTGTAAAATAAACAGAAATAATAACATTGTTGATTTTTTTGTATCTTTCATATTATAATTTTCTAACAATGCAATAAAACCACTAGACTTATATATCCATATCCTATTAAAACCATGTTTCATTAAGAGTACACTTTCATAGTATTTAATTTACATTTTCTTCTTAAGGTGTTTATCTAAATGTAGTAAAACTATAAATAATGTTCATGAAAAATTAACCATAAAATAAAATTCTCTAAAATCACTTTCAGTTGAATAGAGTTGTACATTCCATTCCGTTTTCTCACCTTTCCTGTCATTTTACTACTTTGAATCAGAAGTTAAGCAAGACTGGCATTGATAGGAGTGAAATTTTCATTAGTTGATTATCACACCTGAAAAAGATATTCCCAGGACTCAGGTGTTTTAGGAAGTCCAGATTTGAGTCTTGCATCAGATTAACTGGATTTCTGTCTTTGAGTGATGGGCCTTTAGAGGGTTTTATCTCCACCGCTCATTGATTTTTAAACACAACCCACTGAGTCAGTAATCCTGTTAGATTCAGTTTCTAACAGGGCCCAGTGTTTTGTCATGGTCTTCTGGTCTAGTAATAGCAGCTCTGAAGGGGGAAAATCTGCCATCAGAGGTCTGGGTGCTACCAAACATCCCACGATCCACTGGGGGCGCTGATGTTGAGCAACCCTGACATATTGATGGGATCAGGATGGCATGTCAGTAAACAGTCAAATGAGGCTGTGTGATGGCTACAAGAATTTGGAGAGGAGGGAATAAGAGACATGGGATTTCACCAAGCTTTGAAAGGGAGTTCAGTCTGAATAGAGAGAAGGATGGTCTCTGGACAAAGGCGGGCCTGGCACAAACCTGGAGTGTACCTGGGCCATGAGAGGCTCAATCTAGACCAAGACTTTTGAGGGCAGCCGTCCTTAACCAGTGTGCATCTTGCATGTTGCCTTGCACCCTGGAATCGAGAGATACCAGCAGCCTGAGGTCAGACTGGAAGGGTGTTAACAACAACAGAAGTGCTAAGTAGTAGGTGTGAAGATTTTTGAGGAAGGCCAATAAATAGCATTCTTTTCCCAGTTAGGGTTTTAAACTTTTGCAGATTCAGGACAGAATGGAACCATGGCTTTCTAGCTTTTAGCTCAGTGACTTTCCAGGAGAGAATTCTGGAGTTGGGCAGATCTACCCATCTACCAGTCACCCCAGCCCATCCTCAGGTGCAGCGCCCTGTGGCAGCAATAACACGTTCTCTCTACAGGAAGGCAATGGAGACCAGGATTCATGGAGCTCAGTAGGCTTAGAGCCTCTGAGGAAGGGATACAGAGGTCTCAGGGTGTTCAAGGGAGTGCTTTTTCTGAAGACCTGGCTTAGGGAAGTGTGTTCCTGTTAACATTCTCCAGTTTTCTGGTAGCATTGGACTTACTTAACCATTGCTCAACAGGCCATTTAGCCCTTCGAGGATGCTTCCCAAGACCAGCCTTGGCTTCCACTTCCTGGGGTTGTGGTGGATGGTAGATAGTTGGTCTCTCAGAATGCTCTGGAACAAACACTGGAGAGAAAATCGTGTGTGTCCATCATTAATGCTGAGTTACTTTGAGCCTTTGGGATCCAGAACGCTCTGGAACGTATTTAAAACTAATTTACTTACTAAGTAAATAAGTTCAAAGACCACTGTATACTAGTGGGTGAGAATTAACTCCCTCCTACATTTCCCATCCCTAATTCCCTGCGTCACTGTCCATTGTCACTGTCCCTGCCTCACTGTCCATTGTCACGTATCAGAGAGGTATTACGCATTGAGATTAAATCCCAACATAGAAAGATTTCCGTAAGAAAGTGCATGAAAGGTTGTCTGATAATAGTGATATACCAAGTTTGAAATGGAATCTCCTTCTTTTATTCAACTTTTTTCTTTTTTAAACCCAGGGGTGCTTAACCACTGAGCCATATGTCCAGCCCTTTACTTTTTTAATTTTGAGATGGGGTCTCACTAGGTTGCTTACAACCTTGATAAGTTGCTGGGGCTGGCTTCGAACCTGTGATTCTTCTGCCTCAGCTCCTTGAGCCACTGGAATTACAGGAGTATACCACCAAACACTGATTCCTTTTTATTCAACTTTTAGGGGTGGAAAAATATAGAAGAAGCTCAAAAATTGTTAAGATCTGAAGACATTAAAGGAATTAAATAACTAAATTATCTTGCCCACATGAGTTCAGAGTTCAAACACTTCATGGAAAACATGTGTAAAAACGACTCTACTAAATGTCTCATTTGTTTAGCCTCAGCCAGGGAGTTCTGATGCCTAGGTGATGTTGAGGCTCTTTTGGAAGCTGGAGGTGCAGTGTCTCTGGCGGGTGCTTCCTGCAGGGCTCCAGGAGGACAATATTCAAGGCTGTCTGATGAGCTCACCTTTCAGAGTAGGAAGAGTTATCATCAGTTATCACAGTCTTGGCCTCACAACCACACTTGTTTTGAAATAAGCCAGTTTTCAGGCTTTGTATCTGTTATCGCAGACATATGAAATATATTCCTCTGACTTTAGAGCTACCAGGAGGCTCTGAAATGGATCCAACCAAATCCCGATAAGTGAATTGAAGGGCTAACTCTGTATCAAAAACCGAAAATTTTTAGTTCTGTCTTAAATTTCCCATCCGTAATTCAAAGGATAGAAACTCAGTGGTATACAGGGAAACAACTGAAGGTCTTGTTTTCTGAGAGATCCTCGTGTCCTGGGACTCACGACCTCTCCTTAGTCTGCACTGGGACAACTCTCAGGACTTCGTTCTGGCCTCACACATTGGTGATTTCTGGGGGAAAGACACCGTTGCCTGATGCCTTCGTTGACATTTCTTCTGCCAACGAGGTACTTCTGGCCCCCTAACTAACTGAGGTCTCCCTCAGGAGCTTCCAGCCCCCCCTTCCCAGGTGTGGGCACTGTCAGACCTGATGGGTTTTGTAGGCCTCAGAGAATTGCCTTCTGGGGATGGCTTCTCCTCTGTGGATTTAAGTGATCCAAAGTCAACTATGGATGAGCCCCGTGGAGCCAGTGCTGAGGCTTTACCCTTCCCTCTTTGAGTCTGAATGCTCAGCGGGATGTGGGGCTCACTGGTGGGGTGCCGCTAGTTGGAAGCTTGAACCCTCCAAGCACTCTGGAGTACACTGGAACCCAGCCACCCTGAAGGCCGTCGAAAAGCAGCACGTTTTACTTAATGCAACCCCACCCCCAACTGCAGCAGCGGCACCTTGAGCTCCTTCCCCTACCTAGGGTCACTGCCAGTGGGTTCCTTGTCCCTTGTAGAGCCATGGAGCTGATGGTGTTGGGGCACCCACAGGCCACTGTCCATGATTTATACCACATTATATTCTCTTTTAAAGGCCTCTTGCTCCACTGGAGTGGGGGAGGGGGGAATATCTGTCGATTGGTCTCAAAGATCATAGGTAGTAGATTCCAAAAAGAAAGTACTGACTGACAGGCCTCAGGGAAGCCCATACGAGGATCTTCTCCATGTATTTTCCTTCCCTCAGATAGCCACAGAGTGTCTTCCATGGCTCTGTCTGGGATAACTGCTCTAATGGCTGGGGATTGGCTTGTTTTGAAAGCAGTTGGCACAAACACTGCACAGAGTAATCGTGTGTGTCCATCATTAATGCTGAGTCACTCTGAGTTCTTGGGATCCAATGGTACACTGAGTACCCAAGGGAATCACACACCATTCCTGTGAGAGGTGACCTGCTTCTCTGGTGGGGGTTGGGTGCCTTTTGCTTTTCTGAGGTCCATGGAGAACAGTTGGAACTCCACAGAAAGTTGCCTTCTGAAGGGAAAGCATCATCCTCCACAATGACCCTCCAGATGGAAAATGTGGACAGGTTGGTCTATGACCTCTCACCCAGACCAATTTCACTGTGGTGAAGACCCACTGCTCACTACAAGTCCCCATGACACACACACCACGGCTGACAATCCATGGATGTGCTACCTCCCAAGTTCTATTCTGATTTAAGTCTCTGAACAATGCCCTCAAGTGTTGTGTTTCCAAAAGCTTCATTCATATTCCTAGATGAGCATTCCATATTCCATAGATGAACAACTAGAGAAATACAGGAAATTGGTGGAAAAACCAAAATAAAACCTCAGTTGTTAATGAGGAATAGTTTAGAGAAACAGCCTAGGGGCAAACTCCAGAATTAAGCAAGTTGACCTCATCAGTTTGCTTCCTACTTTTGGAAGGAAGTAAGCTTTTTCCCACCCCTGCTTTCCACGAAGAGAAATTTTCCTCTAAGCTGCACAGCACTGCTTATACTGACTGCACCTACCCTCAACAATGGGGTGTGGAGGTATGCAGGAGCAGAGAGCAGCTGGTGCTGTTTAGAGATAGTCATATACCAAGAGAAAGAATGTGCTGGGCAGAAAACCATCAGTTATTCTCCCCAGATTTATCACTAAGCCAGGGAACTGCACCTCTTCAGGCAAGGAGTGAAAAGAAGTTAAGGGATGCTGTCCTTCCACAGCACAAGTCTGGGGACTTTGAGACGTTTTCAAGAAGAGACTCAGCAGGATAACCCCAAAGAAAGTCTTGCCCTTCCATCTTCTCACTCGATCTCTCGAAGGAACAGAGGTTCAGGTCTAAAAGCAAAGCATTGCCTTGTGCAAACACTTTGCCTCCTGTCCCTATCTCTGTTATCTGTATTGTCTATCAAATGTAAATGAAAAAATCATGAACAAGATTTTAGAAACTGAAATTCCTCTTTAATTTAAACATAGCCATGATTTCTGCAGTTACTGTTTTCCTTCTCAGCTTTTATCTTACATTTTATCACCATCCCCCAAATTATTTCCTAAACAGTTAATTTCCCTCTTTCAGGAGACGGGACTTAAATAATACTCTAAGTACATTTTTGATTTGCAAGTTTCTGATATGACATTCTTCTCATCAAAGAAATCCTGTTAATCATACCCACAGTAATATTAAATATTAAAATATCTAGTAGAATTTAATCTTTCTAAAGAAATGCCCCTTTGGTCCACTTAAGAAACTCGCAGAATTTTTCTTTGGACTGATTTGATCTCAAAGAATCTTCTTTTCTAAAATAAGCATAT